CAAGTGCGCGCTATCGCGATAGTTGGAGGCGAAAGACATGAGCTCTGTGTTGTGTTGTGGGGTATAAAGAGAAGAAAAAAGCGAGTGACACATATTGAGGTGTTTTTGCTTCTCACTCACTCCACAACGATGAAAAGAAGAAGGTGGGGAGGAATTGGAAAGTATATTGCAAGTCATTATAAATTTAATATAATAATAAAATGTGAAGTTAGTCGAAGGAGAGCAAGAGAGATGAGGAGAGAGAGAGAGAGAGAGAGCGGGAGAACAAATGCGCGACGCTGTTTCATTATACAAAAGGTGGCCTAATTAGTGCCTTGCGGTAATACAAGGCACATACAAATATAGTATGGGGCGCACGTGGTGGGGCAAAAGACGCTCAATATATTTGTGGTGTATTGTTGAGAGTCAAAAGACGGTGAGATAGAAGAATGATCCCGTCAAATGATGGATTGACAGGTATCGGATTCTTCCATTGTTCCATGATCTTTCACCATTAGCTCCTCACCACCCATTGGTCATCAATATTCTGCAATGTGTGTGCTCGAGTGGATGAGATTTGGGAGCAAAAACCGTTTAGCCTCGTTCGATTTAAAGTGCACTCTTCTATATAGGAGAGATTCCAATGCATGGATTCTCTCTGTCAATCCAATGTCTATTTATCTCCACGTACACTTACCGATAAGTGGGCTAATAATATGAGAAATTTTGCAGGTGTCTTCTTATCTATTACTGAATTGGTAGTTATTTCCCACAATTAAGTCAGTCGAGTGTCATTTCCACTGTGACAGAGAGAGGGAGAAAGAGAGAAAAACTACATTTGCTCTCTGTGTGTTTAGTGAAAAATGACCGAAATTTAGCTCTTTTGTCATACATACCGTGGTCATCATCATTAAAAGTCTATTACAAGGAAATGGTTAATAAAATCGTGGAAATTTCCCCAACTCATTAATCTGCAAAAGTGTGCCTGTCTGGCAAAAATAGGCGATAAAAGTTGCCACCACAATCTCCGCTAATCCACAAATTCTAAGTTAATGCCGAGGGTGTTAAACTTCCCGAGAAGTTTTCTACCGTCAGTCAGTCAGTTTCATGACCTTTTCGTATGTTAGATTGACTCGTTCAATGTCACATAAACTACACGATAAATTATTTCAACTGCAAGAAAGTGGTGAAGCACTCGAGTTTGTTTATTCTGGATATATGAAGAGTTGAGGAGAAAGAGTGTGTCTATATGACAATGTGTAGGTTGTTTTCAATAGTAATTCAAACCCGTCTTTCATTTAGGCAGTAATTTCTTCAAGTGGGATTTTTGAGGAGGAAGACGCGGAAAAGAGTTTCCTCAACTACAATGTCTCATACTTGGAGAAATTGAAGAGTGTGTTTCTTCTTTCTTTATTCATGGTTTTTTCAATGAAATTTTTGTGGAGTAATTTGCATTGACAGAAGTTTTATTCTTGGGTGAAACTGTCCTATTTTCCCTCTTTCGAACTTTTCCTTCGTCGCCTTCAGGCTGCAATGCGACAATAATTTTCTGAGCTTCCATTAGTGAAATGTCACGTGAAGTTTCTTATTCTTGAGATTATATATGAATTCAATTTTTTTTTCCTGCAACTTTTCTAGTGAATTTAAATACAAAACTATAATTTTGTTTGTGTGTTTTTATCGAAGCATAACTTGAATGTGAATAATTTCACTTGAAATATAATTAAAGTGTTGTATTTATTGAAATGTACAGACAAGAGACTGAAATTGTGTATACTTAGCGATTGTGTATAGATTTATGAGTTGTAAATACAAGTCAAGATGCTCTTCCTTATTAGCCTTCGGACAGTGTCTTTGTTGCAGTTCTTCTTAACCTGCCACTGCAAGACTCGTGTTAAACTGTTCTTCGTGGTCTTTAATATATGTCACAGGCAGTTTCATTACCTAGCAGCCATAATCTGCGTTTAGCTAGAACAGACTTTTCTCATGTTACGGTTTTTTGCGAGATGATTCTATGAGCCAATATACGAGGCAACTTCATAGATGCCAATATTGTATACAATATTTCTTGTGCAAGAGACAAAGAGAGAATATTCACCCCTTCTTCTGGTCTGGAACCTTGTTCGATTCACAATTAACAGTATATGGGATTCATTGTGTTCGCTGCCTTGTCTGATCCAAGCTCAAGTTGGGCAAAAACGAGTGGTAAATTGTTAAGCATGTCAAGTGTGTCGTTCTGGGTGAAAATACAAAGCAGACGGTGAGTGTTTTTCTCTCTCATCTTCTTTCTCCTCATTTTGTGCCTTTGCTAATAAGCAAAAAATTTAAAAGATATATTTCCAGAACAAGAAACGTAATATTTTTGTGAAGGAGAAGGGAAAAAAACAGCACAGAGAAAGAGAGAGAAGAGAAGGTTCTTCTCCTATTTCGAAGATCTTTGTGGAGCCTCTTCTTTTTTTCGCTCGTCTCGCTCGAGATATTTCCTTCCAGAGAGTTCCAGAGAATTGTTTTTGCAGTCTCCATATCGTTTGTTGGTACAATTTATCTCCTCTTTCTCCCTCCCCAATAGGCATATGACCACTTCTATATGTATGATACATGTTCTCCATGTACATTTAATATATATGAATCAATTATGCACAGTTCACTTTACACACTTGATGTGTAATGGCAAAAGAGTGGCGATACTGTGGTGTACCTCCTAAAGTGGATACAATATATAAAGAATGTAAAAACTCTTTGTGAATAAACTCACACATATGTATGTGTATATTATGTGTAAAATTCGAGAAATATCAAGGCCATAAAAATTATACTTGTAGGTCTTCCGCCGTTATAATTTTAACGCAATGAGGTTTTATTTCTTCTCATTCTGTTGCTTGCATATTTTATATTATTGTTGTTGCATTTTGTCTCCCATTCTTCGATATTGTCTGTCTTTCTCTCTCTCTCGCATATCTTGGACTTTTTGCCACTCGCCGTAGCCTTTATCTCCTGTGCACTGCACCATAGGCTGAATTCGCGTTTTTTCCCGTCTCTCCCGGCCGCGTATAGTGGCCAAATGGTACGGCGAAGAGAGATACATGCATTGCAGTATGTACTTAACTCTTATCCTCTTCGCGGTATTACGTGATCTCGCTTTCGGCGTTGAAGGAATTAAGTACATTTTGGGTGATTCACACTAAACTCTGCACAGTTTGACTGCCAGTGCAGTGCGCAAGGAGGCTTAGTCGAAACTCTAAACTCGAGCTTTTCCTCTCAAGGTCACGCTTGAACTTTATCGTCGAGACCATCTGAATGGTCGATTTTGGTTCAGGCAAACACACAAACTCACTGTGTATCTCTCCACAATGATGATTTCCTTATTTATTTATTTGTTTGATTATTCTCAGTGTTTGTACAGAAGAATCTCCATGTTGAACAGTGAGAATGGCTGATTTTCCTTTTGGCCACGAGTGAAGCTCAAAGTGCTCTTGCCTTTGCCCTCTGCATTTTCCTTGTACTTGAATTCTCTGTCTCATTCTGACTGGGTTGTGTTGGGAGATAGACATCTCCCCTTTGCTTTGCACGGTGTGTAGAGTGAAATTGACTCAGTTGAATGTCTCACAGTTGAGTTTTATGGCAAAAGGGAGGCGAAGTGTGTGAGGCAAGTGGTGTAGTAGTCTTGGCGATATATGCCAGTGTTTTGCAGAGTTTGAAGGAGGAATGTTTCAAGGGCAACTTTTGGCCACCGCCCAAAAAGTACTGTTTATTTTTCCGTCTTTCCATTTTTCCTCCATGGCTTGTCGATAGTTCCAAAAAAAAAGTGTTGTATATTATTTACACTTTTTGGAAATTCACTCGCACATCACGAATGGGTGGGAATTTTCATTAATGTCAAATGCGAGGGAGACGACGGATTTTCGTTTGCTCTTTGACGTGAAAATGAATTATTGCATTTAAAAGGGTGCGTTGGGGTTGAAAGACTGACGAAAGTGCGCACCCTTCTAGAAGTTGTGCGCTATTGTGTGTTCAATACCTGAGAGAACTGTGGATTTCACTTGAGTCAAACACAACTCATTAAAAAGGTTTCTCTCGCCGTGTGTTGTGTGCTTTCCCAAGACTTTTTCCTTGAAGCTATATTTGCTGTATTTTTAGTGTCAATGAATGTTTGGATTTTGCGAAGAAAGCGTGTTACGCAATAGAGAGAAGCTTCTGAAGTGTGTGAGGTGTGACGAAGTGGGTGGTGGCTGAGCGAACCTTTGGAAATGGGGTTGACTTTTCTCAATATCATTCTACATATCCTATATTGATTATGTATTTCTGCCTTCACCTTCAATTTTATGTCACAAAATATGGTTTTTTGTCTCTCTCTCTCTCTCTCTCTCCCTGGTTGCCTCCATTTTATATACATATGTATACTTCGAAAAGCTTAGAAGAGAGTCAATCATGAGAAAATATATTGTGAAGCATCATTATTGATATTTAGCATTCCATTTTGAGTTTGAAGAGGCAAAAAATATCATTCGCTTCGAGGAGGTGAGGAAAATTGACAATAATTTGGCATCAAATAGGCGATTGGAGTGGGGAGAGAAGGCAGCAGAAAATTGTTCAATAATCACATTTTCAATTGGGTGTGTCAATTTTTCGCTATATACGTCTCTCCCTCTTCTCTGCATTATTTTTTTTGTGTTATTTTGTCCTCCGAATTGTCTCTATGGTGGTGGATTCAATAAAATTCAAACCATTTCACTTTTTTTTATTGAAATAAAAAGCTTTATTTTCTCCAGTTTTTATTGTCTCTATCTGGGGGGATATTTTAGTATACAAAAAACATTTTTTACGTTTCATTAAATTGTCACAATCACTTTTATTTATTACATTGCGGGCGGATGTTTTTGTTCTCTCCTGAGCTTCAATGCAGGCTGGATGTATTGTTTTTACTTTTAGTCAATGGCGAGTGTTTTTTTTTGGCGTAAATGGTTTTGGATTGGGATTTGGAGAGGAGATGAAAAAAGCTCTTGGCAGATTGATGTGTGGCTATGAGAGTTGGCGAGAAGATGGAGGAAGAGTGGACTTGGGATACGTTTGAGAGGCGTGTGGCTGAGATTCGAGGGAGGGTGGATGACTACAATTTGACTGTTGGGGTTGGGCGATGGTGGGGTGGTTTTTTCCGCCAGTACGGCTTGGAGATTGGGGCTGTGAAATCCCTCTAAAATTGGATACTCCATGGCGAATGGTTGGGTGCAAAAAAAGAAATGGTCGCAGATTTTGTGCTCAACGTAGCTCACAGCAACGACATCGACTGCGGCTGAAACTGTTCTGCGGCGCAACTGCGCAAGTCATATGATGATGGCTGCCGGATCATGAAATCACTTTGACTATATATACCACGCATGTATGCAGTGTGTCAGTGCGGCGCTATGTACTAGATAGCCAGAGCGAGAGGTGTGGAGAGCCGACGTGTTGGTGCGAGCGAGATGGGTGGATGAGTGGGGGGCATTCGCGAGTGCGAGAATAACAGAGAGAGCGAGCGAGCGAGCGAGAGAGAGAGAGAGAGAGAGACTGTGTGGCAACATAAATTCACAGCGAAGTGATGTGCGATTGAGAAAGATGAATGCATGCTTGGGAGCGCCGAGGGGGCGAGTGGGGCGCGCGACGCGGGAGATGACGAAGCGACGTAGTTGAAGCGCAGAGAGTGGGGGATGGAGTGTTTGGATGAAGAGATGTGGCGGGTGGGGGGGAGCTGAAGAAACCCATTTTAGATCGCGGGACGGCGGCGGAGAGTGCGAAACGGTAAGAAGATATGTTTAGAGAGACATGAGGGAGAGAGGGGAGAGATGGTGGGGCGGCGGGAGCGATACATTTTTGGGTGGCATCCATTTTCTGTTGATCCACTGACAGTATCTTCCGTCGCGCTCAGACACACAATGTAACAGCATGTGCTGTCTCTCTTGCACACGCGACTTACATCATTACTTTGGATTCCCACAGCAAGTGCACGAGAGAGATGGCAGTATGGTTTGCAGTTAATGTGAGAGGGACGGATGAGCAGTTGTATTTTCTCTCTATTCCCTTCCCCTCCATCCACCCCCCACTGCTGTCTTTCTGTGTGTGTTTTTTTCGCTAAAAGAATAGAATTTGTGTATAGTTTCTCTCGCCCATAGTACATGTGCAATGTGAAAATGCTGCGCAATTTGATGATGGCAGAGGAAGAAGAAAGTCTGTCTGTGTGTATGTGTTTTGTGAGAATGTTTTATATGGATGTAGGTGGTGTGTATTTTTTTCTTCTTTCGCCGTTCCTCACAAAAGCACTGGAGTCGCTCTTTAAAATACGTGCCATCCCATCTCGCTCTCACTCACTGAATGATGCAAATTGAGAGAAAATTGATACTGTGTCGTTTGGGGCGCTTTTTTCTCTCTCCCTGAAACCATTTTATTCGTGATTTTCTCTGTACACCACCAATAAAGGAGTTAAGAAGTAAAATAATAAATTTGATTGCAGCCACGAGTAAAACACATTTCGCTATATGTATGCCACGCTGTGTCGCTCATTTCACACTATATATATGCGAAAAGGTGATTATCTTCTTGGCGTATGAAGAATTTTCTCTAATACACTCTGACTGAGAGCGTCGTGATGGAAAATGACGTGGATGAGTTGTAAAATGCGATGTGTGTGCATTTCGCCTCGCCGCTCTAATCGCACACCTTATGGCCTGAAAATGTATGGATAGGCAAGCGAATTGCACACAATTTGTGATATGATGAAATTTTTATGGGAAGCACTCAAGCCAGAGAGCCCAAGAACGAATCACCGCATTTGCCATTGAGTCAAATGTGAGAAAGTTGAATGAGACGTAGAAGAATTTTTCATCTAATTCTAATACAATCAAGTGTATTTACTCAATTCTATTTTTACACAATAATTTTCTCAACAATTCATAATTAAGTCTCACATTCTCGCCATCAAAATATAAAGTAAATAAGTGAAAAAAGAATAGTTATAAATTTGCTGAGAATTCTTTGTAATTGTTTGGCGACATGAGATACATTAATTTTGTGGGTATTTCTCTCTCTCTATATTTTTTTCTCCCTCTGATTAGTCAATATAAATACGCTTGTATGGTCACGAAAGAGATTTTTTTTTCATACTAAAGATAGAGTAATTATGTGTGTAGATAAGTTGACAAAAGAGTAATGCGAATGACAGATTAGAAGAGGCGACAACAAAGGGTAACAAAAATGTATCACGGTGAAAATTCATGAAGAAATGGACAAATAAATTGCTAAAAATGGACGAGGGAGAGAGAGAGAGAGAAAGAAAAGGCTGAGTTACTTTTGTAAACAAAGTCTGGAATTATGATGCAATTAAGACGATTTTTTATCACAATCCACACATAAATTACCTTGAAAACATGAGACTGTCAGTTTTTTTTTCATACCCAAAAGTTGTTTATCGGTGGTTTATTCAAGTGTGTGACATCTTTTTTTTAGAACCCGTCTAATTTGTAATTAATGACACAATGACTTTATTTATAATGACACACACACACGACAGTGGTGTTTTTCTAAGGAAATTCCCCTGATATTTTCCACGAGGCGAAAAAGTAGAACTGTTTTAGGTCTTCCTTTGCGCTATGGAAAATACTTGGGTGAGAGATTGTATAGAAATGCTGCCTTTTTTGTATTCACACTCCACTTTGTGGGGGGAAGAAATGAAATATGCAAATTGGAAATATGATAATGTATGTACTGCACCTAAATCAAAATCTCCACCCATTTTTCACGTGAATTTTTCTCCGTCTCCCTTGAGAAAGAGTGCTTTTTTCCGTGAATTAATTCGTGTGCTATGTGTAGTGGGAATTGATATTTCTCATCTCATTTGTATATTCTTTTGTGCAGCAAAACTCCTTGGAGACTGTCTTTTGTCGGCACGAATGGGCGGTTTTGTGACACTGTTTGTCTATTGGTTGTGCTTTAACCATCACGACTGACACACACTTGTGGTTTAAGGCTCATTTGTAATTAGAGTGGTAATGGATGTTTCCTGAATATGATGCGCAAGGGTTGAAGTGCTCATTTCTCTTGAAATGCCTTTTGCAATTCTTCAGGCAACCTTTCTGTGTCTGCCTAATGTTCCAGCATGTTGAATTATTGCTCAACACTCCTTGTCACCCACAGTCGTGCTTCGTGGTGGTTTTCGTGTCAATTTTTCTCTCAGCATTAATTAGACTTGTTTAGTTTGTTGTGACATTCGTGGGTGGATTTCACTGAGATGCCTTTCCGAGGTGCACTCATGGAGAGACAGCGAGAGGCAGTGTCAGTGCGAGTGTGAGTTGAGGATTAAGAGCCATAAATTGATCCATTTATTTTGTCACCCAGCCGCGACATTTGTTTGACCTCACGAGTGACCCATCGCGCCAGTGTATTCCATCGCCAATCACGAATAATCTCGTGAGCTGAATTTGCCATTTCTCGGAACGCTCTCCACTTTTTCACTTAATGGATGTTTCACAATTAATTTGTGAGAAATTGTTTGACTGTGTGTCGGTGAATTTACAAATAGGTGAAATACTATAAAGGCTGTTAGGAGAGAGAAGAAAAAAAAACAGCAGCACGAGGGAGTGAGATGGGGACAGTGGCGTTTTACAACATTTTAAAGGAGTATGTATATAGCGAGAGTCGAATGTTGGCAATATCTATGTAGATAGTGTATTTATATAATTTTTTCTCTATTTCTTGCTATTGCCTACAGTGTTTTCTTATGTTATATACATGAAATATGTGGATATGTATACATGAAAGCACAAGAGATCAATGAACTCTTTTCTCTTTGGACATTGAACACACGGCTAGGTGGCTGAAGAAGGTATAGCAAGGAGTGCGAGAGAGAGAGAAGAAGGTGCAGAAGTAGCGTAGAAGAGAGTGTGTTTGAGGAGGAAAGAGTGAGAGGCTCGGAAACTTGAAGTAAAAAAGAAGCACACGACTCAATAATAACTAAAATTATTACATACAATTTATGAATATTAAACGATTTTATTTTTTGCCGTGTCTTCCACTTCATTTTTTTTGCTAGATTCTGAGTAGTTGCTCTGAAGAGGTCGAGGAAGGCATGGGCACAAGTCAAAGAAGAGCAATCAGGAGTGGAATAATTGCTGGGGAATAAATGAGAAATAATATGAGGGAATAATTGAGTACAAAATTATATATTGACACTGACTGCAAATCACAACACTTTGGATGATGGTGAGGATGGGTTTTTGCCATTGTTGCCATCGTGGAATGGAAGAAATTGAGGAATTATCCATCGTTTTCTTCATACAGTGCATCTTTTTCTCACTCTCAATTACAATCTCGCTAAAAGATCATGTAAATTGCATCTGAAGTTGTACAGGGGAAAAAGTAACGCGCTCTCTTCTGTAGTGTTTGAAATTTCTTACAGAGTGAAAATTATAAATTCATGTCACCAGGTCAGGCACTCAATTTACCATGACAAAAAGCCCAAGAATTAATGTATAAATAAAATAATATGCTCAAATATTAAACCTCTCAATATATCGAAAACTGTAGAGATACTTCATGAGTCACACTCGCTATTTTCTCTCTTTCGTTCTGCCTCTGTGTCGCCTCTTGCCACCGTGTCACGCTAGTGAGAGAAAATTTTAATTCGAAAATGTTCATTTCATTGAAAATGGAGAATTTTTTCCCGATTATCTTCCACAACAATTGTTGACTTGAGCGGTGGAGGGAAATTTCTTGATTTTCTCATGAGATTTTTTAATTGAAGATGGAAAAATATTCTTTTTCTACACTGTGTGGAATTTTCTCTCCCTCCCTTTCCACTGTTATTGTAATTATAATTAAAATCTTTTTTCATAGCTAGAAGGAGGAGAAAAAAAAACAGGCTGCTGATGACTAGCATTTTCTAGTTGGCTTTTCGTGGGGAATTTCCATTTAATTCTCGAGTTGGTGCATAATTCTCACATGAAAATATTTTTTTAAAGTGCGATGCACTTTAGAATTGTTATTTCTTTGACTACACACAGAAAGTTGTGTGAACTCCTTTCGGTGTGGCTGATGTTAAAGTTGCGGCCCAACCCATAAAATTGGGCATGTTATGTTTTTGCCTAAAACTCCGCTCACATGAGTTTATTTAGTACTAGCTGACGATTTATG